GATAGTAGCTATTCGGCTACTAAGAGAGGTCTGTATAGGACAGACCTAGTTGAGGACTGATTTCAGCAGTCCTAGCAGTAGCCGTAAGGGGGAGAACTCTCCTTACAGTTGCAGTACTCAAAGCTCAAGTGAAGTCTGCATAGCACAGTGGTGGAGAGCCCTCAGTTTCAGGTCGGTTACCAGCCCAGAACACCTCATTTGCTGCTGTAACTGAACTGCTTCAAAACTGTGACAGTCTTGGCAAGTCTGAAACAGTGTTGCGAGCTGTCAGAACCTTCGTCAATTCTGCAACTAGTCTCTTTTTCAGCACTGTGATCACTTTGGCTAGTCTTAAACAGTGTCATCTACACAAAGGCTGCAGTCAAGATGTCTTCAATATCTGGAGAGGTTTCTTCTAGGGATAACAGACCTGCTACAAGGTCTTCAAATCTAGAAAACCCTAATCTGCACAGCTTGCAAATTACAAGTGTGCTGCTGGATGAATACAACTTCAGGAGTGGTCCATTTCTGCAATGCTTTTTATTACTTCCCGTGATCTCACAGGCTACTTAGATGGGAACAAGAAGGAACTTGAGGTTGGCAGTGCAGAGTACGCTGTGTGGCAAAAGGAGAATGCCACAGTTATGTCCTGGTTGCWTGCCTCTATGACTCCTCGGGTTGCCATGACTGTTCATCACTTTCTTACAACAACCAAGATTTGGGAAAAGGTGTCTAAGACCTATGGACAGAAGAAAAACAATGCTAGAATCTATAGATTGAATCAAGACATTGCTGCCTTAAGGCAAGGGGATATGACAGTTGCAACATACTTTGCAACTCTGGAAGGTCTTTGGGAAGAACTTGACCATCACTTGATATTGGATTGGGAAAATGCCAGGGACAAGGAGAGACATGATACGCAGATTGAAGAGAGCAGAGCCTTTAAGTTCTTGGCTGGCCTGGACCCAGTGTATGAGGGTATAAGGTCACAAATTCTAAAGAGAGATGAATTGCCCGAGTTACACCATGTTTATTTTCTGGTGAGGAATGAAGAAGTCAGGAGAAAGAAGATGCAAGTTGACTCTCAGACTCAACCAACTAAACAATTTGGAGAACATTCAGCCCTGGTCTCTACTAAGGGAAGCAGACATCAGTTCAGCCTTACAAGCAACTGCTACTAGTAGTCCGGAGAGTGTGGAGTCAATAGCTAGGTTGCATCTGTGGCATGCTAGACTAGGTCATTTGTCTTTCTCTTCATTAGAAATGTTGTTTCCCGAATTGTTTAAGGGCATTTCAAGTCAGAGCTTAATTTGTGAAGTATGTCAAATGTCAAAACAATGTAGAACTGTTTATCCAATTTCCATTATGAAATTCAAGCTCCTTTTGATTTGGTTCATTCTGATGTTTGGGGCCCCTCACCCATTATTTCCATTGATGGCTTTCGTTACTTTATCAGTTTTATTGACCACTATTCTCGATGCACATGGATCTACCTGTTAAAAGGACGAGATGAAGTACCACGGATAACYATGGCATTTTGCAAGATGATTGAAACACAGTTTGGAAACAAGATTAAGCAATTCCGGTCAGATAATGCTGCTGAATATTTTGAAAAATCCTTGAACTTATTCATGGAAGATGCTGGCATGTTACACCAATCATCCTGTGCTAATACCCCTCAGTAGAATGGGGTTGCTGAGCGCAAGAATAGACATCTATTGGAGACAGCTCGAGCCTTACTATTCCATCACAAAGATCCCAAGCAATACTGGTTTCAAGCTGTACTAACTGCATCATATCTGATAAATCGGATGCCATCTAAGGTGTTGGGTATGAAAACCCCTTTCTCTGTTTTGTGYCCCACTCTTCCAGACTTTCCTCTTCCTCCACGGGTCTTTGGCTGTATATGTTTCATACATGTGAAGGATCCAAAGAAGACTAAGCTGGATCCTAAGGCTACGAAAGGAATATTTTTGGGGTACTCTCCTACACAAAAGGGGTACAAGTGTTATGATCTTGTCTCCAAGAGAAAGTATGTCACTAGAGATGTGGTTTTTTTTGAGTCTCAACCCTATTCTCAATCTTCTCAGAATCCTCTTCAGGGGGAGACTTGTGGGATGGAAGAGGATTCTCATTCTCCCTCCTTTTTTGTTCCCCTATCTGCCTCGGGCCTTCCATCCTCTTCCGCTACTCTTAGTTGTGGAATTCTGGGTCAACCTACTGAGGCTCCCACTGTGCCGGTTACYTCTCCTGATGCTGCAGATGTCCCTGAAGGCTCCAGTAGGCAACAGAAAGAGATACTCACATACAACAGAAGGAAAAATGACCCTCAACCTCATGACAGCAACCAGTTGGACTCAGATCAATCTGTCTCTGCAATCCAAGGTAAATCTGACTTACATACTTCTGATTTGGATCTTCCTATTGCTCTCCGTAAGCCTATTCGTTCTTTTACCACCCTGAACCCCATTGCTGATTTTGTTTCTTACTCACATTTATCTCCTGCCTATCACTCATTTGTGTCTGCTCTTTCCTCTATACGTGTTCCTTCTAGGTACTCAGAGGCCGTGTCTGATCCAAGGTGGAAAGAAGCTATGAATGAAGAGATGAAAGCCCTAATGAAAGCAAGAACTTGGGAATTAGTGAATCTGCCAGAGGGGAAGAGCACTGTTGGGTGCATGTGGGTGTTTACTGTAAAGCACAGGGAGGACGGGTCCATTGAAAGGTACAAGGTCAGACTTGTGGCAAAGGGGTTTAATCAAAAAGAAGGAATTGGCTACAAACCTTTGCCCCAGTAGCAAAGCTCAACACAATTCGGGTTCTATTGTCACTAGCAGCAAATTTTTCCTGGGAACTTCATCAGCTGGATGTGAAGAATGCCTTCCTAAATGGTGACCGTCATGAAGAGGTATTTATGGAACCTCCACCAGGCTATGACTTTGGTAGAAAGGTGTGTAAACTGAGAAAAGCATTATATGGTTTGAAGCAGTCTCCCCGTGCATGGTTTGAGAGGCTTTGTGGGGCCATGAAGAAAATGGGGTACACTCAGAGCGGTGCAAATCATACCTTGTTCATAAGGAGACAGGATAGCAAACTTACGACACTCATTGTTTATGTGGATGATATTGTGATTATCGGGAATGACTTGGAAGAGATAAATAGATTGAAGGAGTTTTTAGCTTCGGAGTTTGAGATCAAAGACTTGGGCCATTTGAGATATTTTCTTGGGATTGAAGTTGTTAGGTCAAGAGAATGAATCTACATATGTCAGCGGAAGTATGTTCTTGACCTAGAGGAAACAGGCATGATTGGGTGTAGGCCAGCAAATACTCCAATAGAACAGAATCATGGTCTACAGGAATCAGTAGGGGAGGTCTACTGTGATAGAGAGAGATACCTAAAATTGGTAGGGAAGCTGATATACTTATCTCTCACTCGGCCAGATATTGCTTATGCTATGCATGTTGTCAGTCAATTCATGCACTCTCCAAAGATCCCTCATATGAAAGCAGTTGAAAGGATTCTCAGGTACTTGAAGA